ACAAAATCAGTAGGGCTGCCATCCTTCCTAAGGAGTAGAAGAAGGGGCAATGTGTTGGGGCAATGAAGGCCTTATGAGCAGGTCAAAAGAGGGTAATATGAATTATGATGAAACAATTATAGAATTTTTGACAAGGAAAATAACTTATCTGGAAAGCTTTGAAGAAATCATTGACTCTCCATTTTACAGATGAAAAAATCCAGATGCAGGGAGATACCTGACCAGCCTTTAGTCTCATACCATTAATGGGAGAGCCAGTCCAAAGACTAGCCAAAATGTACTGGTATGGGTGTGTTAAAATCTTGAAATGTCTTTTCCCTTTTAAAGATAGCTTTACTGGGGAGGTGGGAGCTGACTGGCTGGCTCAGTCCATTAAGCATGCGACCCTTGATCTTGGGGCCATGAGTTTGAGCCCCATGTTGGGCATAGAGATCACTTAAAAAATAAAAAAATAAAAATAAATAGCTTTTTGGGGTATAATTCATATACCATAAACTTCCCCCATAATAATTACTCAATAATTTTGAGTAAATTTATACAGTTGGGTAACCATCACCACAATCCAGTTTTAGAACATGTCTGTTCTAAAAAACACTGAAATACTTCAATAGTGTAAATAGTAAATAGTAAATAGCCACTCCCCTGAAATCCCCAAAAGAATCACCTTTCAATTCTCTGAATCACTCCAGGCCTCCCTATGATCAAATTACATTATCTGGTCCACAGGGCAAGGAGCATCCTGGCCCTTGCCCCAACATTGAACAACTTCTGTTCTTCCTGGTTGGTACCTTTGCTACATCTGTGCCACATCTGTTGTTAAATAACATAAATGTCACCCCTGGAAGGATCAAGGCAAGCATTTAACTCCTCTGGTTCCTAATCTGAGCTTTTCACATAGCACCCTGCTTTTCAGAAAGACAGGAAAAAAATAAGTGAACAAAAGAAAACAAGAGCTATGAAATTATGTCTACTTAAAAGACAGGTTTTGAAAGGTCAAGAGATTGAGCTGGTATCTATAGTGATGGTTACCTCTTCAGTAAAGGTGTTCTTATCTTGAGATTTATACATTTCTGCTGATGGATGAACTTCTGAGGGTCAGGTACCTCCCTGAAACACAAAATTTCATGAATATGCACATTTTTCTGTGGAGTGAGTCCATGGACAAAAAGAATAACTTGCTAAGAACATGTCTGATAAGAGGTTTAGGGGAGAAGCAAACAAGGAAGTTGCTCAAGGAGTACAGACCTGGGGAAAATAATTTTAGTTAGAGGGATAGGCAAAGGGAAGAAAGTGAAGACAAAGTTCTCTTGATTCACAGTTTTATTTACAAGCCAGATATGTATGTGAATCAACTATTTTTGACATCTAGAATAAGTCACACAGATTAGGTCACACATATAAACCCTTTGTTATTTTGCTAATTTTCTTTGTCCTTAATTAGGAGATTCACATGAAATGACTAGTTTGGGTTATGCTTTTCTTAAAGTACCACTCTAAATTGTGAATCTGGAGTTTTGCTACTTCATTAAATCCCATCTATAGCTCAACTGGATTACATTAGCATTTTAAAATTGTTAACTAAGGCCCCCCAGTGTGTCTACATAAATTACAATGAAGTCAAGTTCATTCCTAGTATATCTGTAAATGTGATTTTAAAATTCAAAACAGTACACCATTCCCATTGCATTTTATCTTAGACTTTTTCCGATAGTATTTTGGACATATCATTTAAATTTTTGATGATCTCTACTAGGCACATGGAATTTGAAATCTGGAAGAAAACTTGAAGATTATGCAGTCTGATTTGCTCATTTTATTGATAAAGAAATAAACCCAGAGAGATTAAGAGCCCTGACCAAGCTTATTAATGACAGAGCTAGAACAAGACTACAAGCATTGGCTTCTTAGCTTGGTGCCTTTTTCAACGTACAATTAACAAGCTAATGGTTACTGAACTGCCTACATTTCTCTGATGAGATCAGCCAGTAGGAGACTATGAACAAACCATCTGTGGAGACATAGACTCAAGCAAAGACTCCTCAACCCTGCCTCTTCACACTCTGGCAAGAGGATTCTCATAGGATAGCTCCTAACTCTCCAGTCTAGTGAATCACTAGAACTCAAACATTCATAAATCACATTATATTATCAATATTGTGGCATTTGCCCAGTGATCACTTTGTGAGTTCTTCAAGTTACTAGACTCTGGTTTCCCATATTTCCTCCCCTTTTCTCCCAGAAAGTCTCGCTGCTTTTAGTCCTCTCTGTCATAGGCTCTACTTTTGCATTGGTGGGGACCACCTCAGGCACATAAGTAGCTTGTGTATGCCCTCTTTTTTTTTTTTTTTTTGTCCTCCACGGAGATGGAGGAGGAGGGGGTAGTTTGTGAGATGAGGGAGAATCATCTCCTTGAACATGATGGCCATTTGTAATTGATGTGGAAATCAAAAAATTATCAAATCTAACAAAAATAATAATTATCCCCTAATATCATCTAATATGCATTTTATGTTTAAGTTTCTCCAGTTGTCTCAAAAATATCTTCTTTACAGTTGGTTTGAATCAGGATCCAAACAAAGTTAACATGACTGCGTTGGCTTAATATGTCTCTTAAGTGTATTTTATTGCAAATGGTGCTATTAAAAAGATTCTTTAAGGGTATGGGAAATTTTAATTTTACTATTGTTGAACTGTTTTCCAAAGTGATTGTCCAATTTTGCTCCTAAATAGAGCTTCACCCCACTTTTGGTATTGTCAGACATTTTGCCTATTGCCTATGTGATAGTAAGCCCCACACTGTAAGGAAATATGTAAGCCTGTCTTCAAACACTGTATAGTTAAAACATTTGACTTTTTAACAAGGTCATTTTTAACACACATAAAGCCCAAGGGACCAGATGTTGGTTCTGCTGTGAGGAGTATTAAGAATTCTGTTAACTCTCTTTTCTTATCAGTATGTCATAGCAGGTTGTTGGTTCTGATGATGTCATAATGCTTTGTTTGTGGGGTCATCTGATGTCACTGACACCTTAAGAAGAATCAACTTTTAAATAAAATGAACTTTAGATGGTAAAACCTGATCTTCTGGAGCAATTTTCAGAGATCATAGGGATAAAGATCTCCAGAAGAAAATATATATGGAAAAGCTTTCCTCTTTCATTGGGATATATGGGTTTTACTCCCGGTTGAAATGTTGACAACACAACTGAGCTGACACCAGATGATTCCTTGTTGCTAAGAGCATCCAAACATTCCCCAAGGACACCGTCATTTTGCACAACAAAGGGAAAACCAGCCCATTTCTGGCAATAGGGTAGAATTCTAAGAGGAAAAAGCAAACCAATATAACTTCTTCTCTATAATAATACTTGGTTTAATATTATACTATAGGATAACTGGTGTATTTTAAAGATCTTTTTCCTTTTTGAACACATTTTATATTAGGGAATTTCCCAGAGAACATAATGATCTTTTTTTTTTTTTTTAAAGATTTTATTTATTTGAGAGAGAGCCAGCACGAGCAGGGGAGAGGCAGAGGGAGAGAGAAAGGGAGAAGCAGACTCTCCACTGAGCAGGGAGCCCCATGTGGACCTCAATCCCAGGCCCCTGGATCATGACCCGAGCTGAAGTCAGGCACTTAAATGACTGAGCCACCCAGGGGCCCCCATAATGAGCTACCTTTGAGTGGGAAGGATGATATCCTACATTGCTCTTATATTTAAATCTTACAGAAATTTCTTTTTTTTTTTTTAAAGATTTTGTTTATTTATTTGAGAGAGAGAATGAGATAGAGAGAGCATGAGAGGGGGGAGGGTCAGAGGGAGACGCAGACTCCCTGCTGAGCAGGGAGCCCGATGCGGGACTCGATCCCGGGACTCCAGGATCATGACCTGAGCCGAAGGCAGTCGCTTAACCAACTGAGCCACCCAGGCGCCCTCTTACAGAAATTTCTAAAAAGAGCTCCAAGTTAATAAAATGACAGATTTTAAGCTTTTGTTCTGCTAAAGTAAAAGCCTTCTACTCACTGTATCAGCCATTTAAATCTTTAAAAGATAGTACAAGAACACGAGGTGCAAGCCTTTGGCTTCCATTTTCCTCTTAACCAATGATATCTTCAGTTTTGGGATAGCTTTTTAAAATGTGGCTCCTGATAAATGTTGGCAGAACTGGTGCATTCCCAGAATAAATTCTGAATGCTCAGCTTTCCCTATTCAAATACATCCCTAGATCGAACGACCGCAAAACTGCCCACTATGAAACAGGCTGAAGAGAAGTCCAGATGTTATAGAAGGTGTTCAGTGTATACTACAAGATGCACTGTTACATTAAAAAAAAAAAATCACGTCTAGGGTCAAATCTCTAAACAAATGTGAATGCCATAACAACCATAACTGTTACTGACACACGTGAAGTTTAAAACTGACAGGTTGGGGTAAAGGGTAGACAACAGCATACGAACGAAAGAAAAACTTCAAACATTTCTCTTCCCTTTCAGATAAGTTTCAGCTCTACAAATCTACCCTTGCCTTTAAAATATCAATGTATTGTTTTGCTCTCAATCCTCATCTCATTGTACAAAGAAATCTGTGTCTTTCTCTCCCAAATTAGGAATATGAGAAGCCTTCCAGACCGTAAAGACCAGAATGCAGCCCCACGGAAAGTGGTATCCGCCCGAAGGGTGTGAAAGTGGGCATGGTGGTGTGGAGAAGACATCCGAAAGGGAAAAAAAAATCTTCAAACCATACACCTGTGGTTGGAAAAACAAAACAAAAAGAAAAACCCACGGGATTGGAGATCATCAAGATCTTACGGTATACAGAGAAAAAAACGACAACCGTGGCCAGGTCAGACCAGGAGCGGCGTTTCTTAGGCGACCGGAATAGCTAGGTGAGGTAGCAGCGGACGCCAGAAAATTGGATGTGACTGAGGGTACCAACAACGCCATTTACCGCGCTCCCGCCTGCCCCTCCCCCCCTAAGGCCCAGCGCGCCAGCCAATCCCCTCCCGCCGTCCCCTTCCCACCGGAGGCCCCGCCCCCGGCGCCCAGGATGCTGGGCCCCCGCGGCGTGACGCGAGCACGGCAGCTCCGCCCCCTGCGTCTCTGGCCTCGCCGGCCTTGGGGGGATGGTTCCATCATGGCGTCAATGCAGGTGAGAGGAGTTTGCAGCATCTGGGCGGGCGAGGGAGCCGCCGAGAAGACGCAAGCGTTTTGTCGGGGGCGGCGTCTGGGACTCTGGGGCACCCGGACGGGCTCGGGAGCGGCCCCGGTGGCCAGTCCTTTCCGAGCTTCAGGACGTTGGGGAGGGGTGAGAGGTGGCGAGAAGGGCGGGGGAGGGGGGTCCTCGGTCGGTCGAAGCGGACACCAGCCGGCCGGGAAGTTGGGGGATAAAGAGGCTAAGAGGAGGAAAGGGCGAAGTTTGGCGTTGACTCGGCGGCAGTGGTCTCGGAATCACCTCTTGCTTAATAGACGCTGGCCTGCCCGCCCGCCCCAGGGATGCCTTCTCCGCTGTCCCCGGCCGGGCGGAAACAGCTGCTCTCGCCGTGTTGCTGGGGCAAGGGCGGCCCTGAGAGGGGCTGAGTGTGGGGGAGCTGAAAAGGCGTTCCGAGAGAGGGCGGCTGGCTGCAAAAGCTCTTCGCGGCCTCTGCTCGGGCCTCCCACGCCCAGCTTCCCTGACTGCTCGGCCTCTCGGCTCTCCTTTCTTTGACTCTTAATCCTTTGCCCCGTGGGTACCTTTCTCTGTTAGTCTTCGCATTCTCCACGAACGCTGGTCTGGCAGCTCACTTTGTCGCTCTTCCCGAAGCTGCCCATGGCCCATCAACATCATTTGCCGCCTAATATGCCATCTTCCCGAGATCTGAGTCACCAGCCCCCTTACACCTCCGGGATAGCTCGCCCTCAAAAAAAATTTTTTTTCCTACGGTGCCCCACCCTTGTGGTCGCGGTAAGGCTACAGTCCTTTGCCCTTCTTCCCTAGATCTTTAGTGGAATCTTAGTTTGGTAAGAGGCGTTTATCTACCTGACTTAGCAGTTCAGGGTTTTCTGGCTTTCCAACTTAATATACTTCTTTTTCCCAAACCCAAGGAGTTTGAATTTTTTTTTCAGGCAAAGATGGCAACCACAACTGCAGTTTTGTAGAGATTGACTCTGCATTATCTATAGCTTGCATTTAATTTTACAGATGAAGACTTAGCTCTAATGAGAACATGTAGGAAGAGAAGGTAGAACTGTTGTTTGGAGTGGCAGCTGAGATTTTAGAGTTTTAACATCTTAAAGAGATCTACGTTTTCTTAGAAGGATTTAGTGCATTTGTTTCTGGAAGAATGAGCAAGTCTTCCTATCCTCTCCACCCTACGTTTTTTTTCCTCATTTCTAGGCGAGAACAGTTTTTCTTCTCTTTTCTGCATCTTCCTCTTTTGCACACATATTTGCTTCACATTTACTTCTGTGCCTTTGTGTTACCTGTCCCCTTTCAGCCTGTTTTCCTGGCGATATTCTTTTTACCTTTGCTTCTTCCTCTGGACTTTGCTGCAGAATAGAAAAATGTCTAACTTTCCTACTTGAAGGGATGTCACAAAAACGGTGCAGGGAAAAAACAATTTGAGGAAACATACTTTACACTGGTCTCCCCAGAGACGTTAGAGAAGTTTCGTCATTTGAGCCCAAAAAAGGAACTGTGGAACAATAGTTGAATACTAGATGTATAAGACTAAGATTATTTGTATTAAGATTAAAACTATTTTAAGACTGAAAATTATCGTTAAAATCCACAATACTTGTGATTATATTTGACAAGAAAATACAGGGATAACTAATTAGCTGGTTAGATTCAGACTTCAAGGGTCTGAAAAAAGGCAGATTTGCGTTTTTAAGAGAAAAAAATGAGTACAGAACTGAGTCAGTACAGAACTTAATGTTGATAATCTTGAATTTTACATGGCGACTTAAGTAATGGAAAAAAAAAAACTACTTGCCAGTGAAATACTGCATTTTTCTGTGTCCCAAGTATTACCTCTGACTGTCTTACCACCCTTTATTCCTTTGTGTCTTCTGATTAGAGGAATGGAAAACTGATGCTTCCTATTTTAATTAAAACTAAATTCTTTTTGTATTTTTGAAATATCTGATACAGGTTTTCTGGTAGAATCTTGAAAAATAATTTTAATGTAGATAAATCAAGCTTTTTGAAACACTTCTTTGTGGTTATTCTGTCTTTGGTAAACAAAATTTTTTCCTGACCATCTTAATAGCAAAATTTTGTTTTAAAGATTTTTATTTTTTTAAAGTAATCTCTACAACCAATGTGGGGCTCGAACTCAAAACCCCAAGGTCAGGAGTTGCATGCTCTACCAACTGAGCCAGCCAGCCACCCCTTAATAGCAAAATTGAACTCTTCAAAACAACTGAACTACATATAAAACTGCAACCAAATTACAGAATTTGTTTATTCACTCATAAATTATTTTTCAAGGGCCTACTGTGTCTGGTACTGATCAGGGTGCTGGAGATAGAGCAGTGAACAAAAAAGCAGACAAGGATTTCTGCTCTCATGGATATAATAGTCTAGTTGGGAGAGACAGATGAGAACCAAATACTTAAATTAATTGCATATTGTATTAGAAGGTGATAATGCTACGAAGAGAAAGCATGGAAGGGAGTTAGGAGATGGATATTTTGGGGATTTCAGTTAGCGTGCTTAGGAAAAAAGTATACTATACACAAATGCTGCTCTGACCACGAACTTACCCAAAAAGTTTTCAGATTTCTTTATCTTACGCCAGGATATTATTGCTGCTGAGAAGATGACTTAAGCTGTAAGAAGAACTATTTTAAAAACATACAAATTATAGAAATGTAGTACAGGATTTGATTACTTGATAAAAAGGAAATAGTCTTCAGAATCAACATCAAGTAAGGGTAGACTTCGGCTTTTTCACTGGAGAGTATTTTGAAGTTGAGGTTTTAACTCCTTTAATGTATTCCCAACCTTTTCTCATTTGGTACACATAGAAAATAATTTTTGAATCACACACTAAGGTGGATGAAGTAAAACAGTGGGGATGAGTATCAGTATTCTGTCAACATCTGTAATGCTGGGGATGCTCTACTCTAATACTGCCAAAGTTGTTCTTCAATATATAGTTAAAGGTTGTGGTTTTCAAACTTATTTGAGCCTTTGAGATGTTCTTGGTTTTTTTTTTTTCTTTTTTTTCCCTACCGTTTCTTCCTAGAAGGAAGTCGCAAATTACCAAGATAATGGTTTAAGAAAGCGTTCTTAAGAGAATGGTGGGCTTCTGACAATACTTAAAAATGGCAGGAGTTAGAGTAAAGAAACATCTCCATTTAATTGTAATAGTTCTAGAGATGTTAAATAACTCTTGTAGATTTTCTGCTTGCTTTTTCCTCTCTTACCTGATTTGACTAGATGGAAGGAGGTTAAGATTTAGGAACAGATGGATTATGAATGCGTGCTTATTTTCTGATGACTTTGAAATAATGTTGTGTCATGTTATTCACGACTCTGCACTGCTTTTTACTCAAGTGTCTGGCTGTAGTGGTTGAGAGAGGTGGAATATGGGCTCTTACTGACATTTTTAGTAGTCACATTGCCTTGACAGACTCCGTGTGATTACTGTTTGATGATGTGAAGGGTTACAGCATAATCAAAAGTTAGAAAATTGACTCATCTTGGATCCTAAGGCTTATTGAATACTGGGAACTTGGGGAATGTATATGCCTAATTATAGTATCTGAGAAGGTTGACTGGGTACTCTGGCTAGGGATAGAGAGCTGTTGGGACAAGTCAAGGAAAGGGGTACCAGTATAGAATAGAATTGAAGGTATTTTGAATGATTAACCTGAACATAAGTGAAGTACACGTGAATAAAGGATAAAGCTAAGGTAATCTTCTTAACTTTCAAAGCAGTCAATGGTACTTTCTTTTAGCTGTTAATCAATTACTGCTTAATGAGATGCCTTCTATTTTTATACTAAAGTGTTTGTTTGGGTGTTTCATTTAACTTTTCAGGTCTCTTCCACTCCCCTGGGCCATAGATCTCATGAGAATAGGAAAAATACCTTTTCTTTGTCTCTTAAAGTCACCTAGTGATTACAGTAAATGTTCAACACTTAACACTTCAAAAACCGTTTCTAATTAGCAAGTTCTGCATTAGTTTAATTCTATTTTAGAGAAGTCTTTTAAGCAATTCCATAATAGTAAGATTGAGTCCCTATAAAGGAATAATTTAAAGTTCATATTTTTATATATATATTCCCCCCCAAATTGGCTTATTTTCTTGATTTATATGTTTGCCATAACCTTAACGGTTTTCAAAGTATTTTTCTGTTCTTTGGATTCCAACCTTGTAAAATGGGAAGTCAGATAATCTTATTTCATTTCAATAGAGACAGTGACTTTAGGTAAGTAATCATTTATTTGGAAAGCGACTTACCCAAAATTACATAGCAACTGAGTGCTGAAACTGTGATTGGAAACCAAGCTCTGAAATCTGTTGATGCTATGAAGTTGTATGTAACTAACATGTTAACAAGTTTGGTGTTGTAGAGAAATCACTGGGATAATTACTTTTCAGTCAAGAAGTAAACATTTACTAGGGTAATATTTTATAGCTAAGATGAGAGAAAAATATTCCTTATATTTTATAATATAGTTATGCATACATTTTAAAAAGGATCTTTTTGCATGTACTTGTGCACTGAGTAAAATTATGGCAAATCTTTACTGTTCAAAGATAGTCTTTATTATCAAGGAGAATTTTAAAAGTAGAGGTGATCTGGCATCTTTCTGAAAATATAGTTCTGCATAGTGTTTATTTGAATTGAACATTTGTTACATGTTATTTCTTTGTATCACTGCTGTCTACATTAATTTTATCTACAAAATACTCGTTTGTGTTTGTGGAGTGTTTTTAATAATTCTTCATTTGATAGCCTTTTTTGTGAATGCAGGTTTTGGGTCACCAACAAATGGTGCATGCCTCTGAGTTATTTTATTCTGAGAAAAACTAGTCTCATTCAGTAGGTCTTGTAAAAACTTCATCAGGGAAAAAAGCACAGGATCTGGAATCAAGACCTGGATTTAGGTTCTGTTTCACTAAATATCTATGTTGCCCAAAAATTAGGGTATCAAGT